TCTTTCCAGTGTCATCTGTCGTGAAAATGACTTGAGAAGATTATGATACTTTGAACTCCTATCGCCTCAGACTCGAACTTCAGTCGGGATTCAACCAAACTCTTATCCTGAAGACTAAGGTCCGTATGGTTCTTCAATGAGTTGCTTTTAGTTGGAGGGCAATATGATTTCTTGAATTTTGGGGTTCTTTGGGTGGGGGGGGGGACCTCTTGGATATATTGTTGGGACAAGAACATATTGTTATCTCTTATGCTTCTTTGCCACAGGGTCCTACAGAAAGGGAAAGGAAAGGAAAGATAATTTCGGATATCAGAGTGATGCAGCAGTCAGTTGTTCACAAATGGTGGGCTAGCTAAGAAGGGTTAAACAATTGAGAAAGTGGAACTACTGAATTGTAAAGCCAAGAAGGGCTAAGGCCGGGAAGAAACCAAGAAAACTATTGAATTGTCGATGAAACTAAAGTTAAAGGATTAATTCAACTGTTGAGACTTGGTCCGTCTACCCCATGATGCATATGTAACTTTGACTTGCTGTAGGAAAAAACAAACCGAAGATCAAGAAACACACAGCAATTTATTCGCTTTGCTGTGTCATCTAGCCATATCATTCTCGACCCCAGCAGAGGTAGAGATTTGCCAGTGATAGTAGAGTTGCCGGTTCGTCGAACCTAGCTAGCTACAAGCGTATATAGCTGTTGAATGTGATCAAGGCTCACGTACATTATTATTCTACCACCAACTATTTCATTTCAAGAAATGCGCAAATTTGTATTCAATGAATAGATGATTAGTCATTTCAAGCACTCTGCAATGAGAATAATTGATAGTATATATGATGAACTCATAAAATTACAGCATATCGACATCTGCAACATTTCTATGTATCTTCAGTTTATGATGTCGGGGAGCAAAAGAGGGTGAATTTGACAGTTCTGGATCCGATTGAAAACATGGCAAGCTCCCAGCTGATCAACAGAACATGCATGATGTAATATGGACTGGATCTTGAGCGCACATATAGTTTGATAGATAGTGAGTGAGTTGGATCCTGATTCACTGAGCTGTGGGTGGGTTGGAATTCACAAGAGCTTTCTACTCTACTGATGAATAGGGACAATGCCGAGCCGTTGGGGATCCACCACACGTGCAAACCAACGGCAGTGATGAGACTGATCGTGTTAAATGGTGATGAGCAAGTGGTTGATTGTAGGTCTTGAAGCCCAACAACTATGGAACTTCTGGGACTCCCGTGTCCATTGTCCTATCGCCCTGCCCCCACATTCAAGTATTGAACCCCCCCGGCCACGTGAACTTCACGAGCTGACCATTAAAACCACTCCTCTGCCTCCTTGTCCTCCGTCCCTTCCTCCTCAATTACTGCCATTTTGTACTCCATTAGATTAGATGGATCCAATGCACAACATTGGGATTTATTTACCGTATTAATTACCAACGTCCTGTTTGATAACTCAATCTAGCGCTTCAATTTAATGGGTTAAGACTGTTCAAATGCATGCATTTGATAACAAAAAAAAAAAAACAACAACATGGCTTAGAATCAATGAAGTGTCACCGAATTTTCTAGACAAAACTTGTTTCGTTTGAAGAATAAGTGATAAGCTGTTCACTTAATACGCGTTCGCTGTGATATTGCCCCAGTCGTATATGTTAGGATCTAAGCGCGAAACAAATAACTATTGAGATATCAAGTACACAATAATTTAATGGCAAACAAGTCACAAGCACGAAAAATAAACGACACACAATATTTAACGTATGTGGTTCAGCTCCATCATTGAGCCCACGTCCATGGAGAGAAACACGTCCTTTATTATGAGAGGAAAACCCTATACAAGAATACAATTTGAACTCAAATCCAACCCTTGTATACTATCTCTCATCTCCCAAGAACCCTCTCTCACACCCTCATGTATAAGGCTACGTGTCACCTCTTGTGTGTGTCTTCTTGTGTAGTATGCCAACCCACCTATTGATAGAGAACATTATTTGGCAAAAAAATAAAAAAATCAAATAACAACAGAAAACCAATTCTAATTCCTAGACTTGTACGTCATAGAAAATAACTTCTAATCATAAACAAAATAGAAAATTTCTTGACTACTATTTCAAGTAACTAAAATCAATTAGAAAACTAGTTAGTTCCACACAAAACAAGAAATTTGCCTAAAAGAAATTAAGCCAATTTCCTAACGGTATATGTATATGCCCGTTAACTATGAAACGCACTGCATAATCTGCTAGCTCCTCGCAGTCTGCAGTCATGATAGTTGATGATGCAATTGTTACGGAGCAAAGATTATATTCTGATTCTTTCTGGTAATAGATCATTAATATACACACATGCTTATCCTTCCGGTGTATGGATCAAATGAGAGAAGTAAGAAACACGTAACAAACGTATATTTGTTATTGTTGGGTGGTTTGTCCAGGGCCATTCCCCCCAACGCACACCCTCCTTCCAATAATTTGTGTAGAAATGTTCAAGGAAAATCCGACAAAACGAATCGAGTAATATTTAAATCAAGATGATGATTTGGAAGTTGCATAATTATATATAACGATCTAGAAGATGGAGAGAATGTTTTAATTAGCAGGAATAGCGGTTTAGCTCTTGCAGCATCATGGAAGCTTTTGAAATGCAGATCAGCGGGGGCTGCTTAGTCATGGCGTGCTTGATGGCCATCCGCCGACAAGCTGAACATGTTGAAAATCAAGCATATGTTGCCAACAAGTTATCATAGTTCAAATGACAAAGTTACGTTCAAACAAAAAACCTTTGTACGTTTGAAATCATTAAAAGTGTTAAGGAGTGTGTTTTGTTCTTGCCTTCCTATCATGTGTTTACACTTAAACAACAACACAATCTTAAAAAGTTAACAAGTAATTAGTAGTACTTATTAGCACTCTGGACCAAAAATATTTTGCATTAGACTGTCCTCCTATAGTACCCCTTCCCTTTTTTTAAAGGAAAAAAAAAAAACCAACAAGAAAAAACCAAACTGTTTTTTTTTTCTTTTTTCTTGTTAACAATATCAACTTAATTAGCCCTCACGGGGTGGTCCAGCGGTAAACGGACTCTTAAGGACCCTTGTGGTCTTGAGTTCGAATCTTACCCTGAAATTGAACTCCCGTGACCAGCACGGGATCGCTGTGTAGGGCCGTGGCGCACTCCTCCGATTTGGTGTGCTGGCTCGGATCCTAAGGGTTTGAGTCGGAGCATATTCCGAATTACCAAAAAAAATCAACTTAATTAGCGAGGACACTCTTGCACTTGCAGCTTTCAATTTTACGAGTCCCTTTCTAACTTCCAATCTACCTCTTCAATGAATAATTATATCTTTTCTACCATCATCTTTACTTTGTAACAAGTGGGATTGTGAAAGCAACCAACGACAAAAACACTACTAGGTTAGGTGACATTAGAAAAGATGATCATATTGGCTGCTGCCCCTTTTCCATAATCTCTCATCTCTAACAAAAGGAAAGGACTAATCAACATTAGTGTCGTTTAGTCAAAGTTTGTAACTTTAACCCATTTGCAACTAAAAAGTTACGTGACATGTTTCCCCACCTTGTTTTATTCCAAATCTTATAGCAAAAGAGTAGAGATGGGGTTCACCTTCTTCACTTTATTCTCTAGAAAGTAATTCTAGTGTCCACGTTCACATCGGTTAATCTTGAATTCCCGAAGACACTTGTTCAAAGCAATGAAAATGACCGCTTAATTTTGTAAAAAAATATCTCTTCAGCCTTATATTGTTCAATGTGCCGATGATGATTACAAGGTTAGCATTTTCAAGGAATAACTCCTCTTGTCCAAAAATACTGCAAGGCGCCACTTAAGGAGATTGGACTAATCGATTTCACCATGCGGTATTAAGTAAACTAAGGGTTTTTCTAACGAATCGCCTTACCGTATTCGTTAACACATCTAATATTCACATAACCTATCATATATATAATATATATACACACACATACTAGCAGCAATCATTATCCTCTCTTGCATTTATATGATTTTTCATTTTAATCTTACCTATCTTCTCTTTTATTTATTTAGTTTCCCTAATTAATCTTATATTTTCAAAAATATTAGTATCTGAAATATATCTTAACGTGGGCACCCGTTAGACAAAACCGTTCAACTAATAGAGAAGAAGCATATTACATGCATTAAATCTCATTCGGGTATTCTCACTCGGTGAATTTAATGGATTTGGCATTAAATAACTTTAAGTGGAGTACCTAAATATACTCTTTTCTGCATTATGAATAAAGAGGGATGGAAAATTTGTGCTGTTTCATAAAGAAACAAATAGTAGTAGTGTATTTTACTTCTGGGAAGTACAATGACAATATTTCCATCATGCATGAATAAGGTTGGAGATACTATTAATTTAGTTTAGCATCCGAACAACTTCATTGATTAGTAGATGCACTGTCATTAATTGCGAGAGTAAGCAAATAAATCAACTACTGTACGTAATAAAAGATTATCGAGTAGAATAAGGTTGTTAGTCAGTTACGCAGGGAGAAAAGAAAACCGTGAGCCTTGGAAAACTTCAAAACAAATAGTAGACAAATACTATGATAGTGCATGTTTACGCACACATGCAGATGCAGAGAGGGGGGGAAAAAGGAGAAACCAGTAGAACAAGTAGAAGAGAAATGAGACCACCAGGGTAGGTAACAATGGGACAGACAGACAAGGTGGGCTACGACTTTGGTGAGAGTCTGGAGTCCGGACTGAGCGGTCCAGAGACGGTAGCTCGCCCCTTTTCTCTGCTGTCAATATCATTGCTCCTCTTTTCCCCGACCCAACTTCAATGGTGTGCTTCTATTCTTCTCTTTCCAGACCGACAACATATGGTCCTTTTTCAATTCTAATTTCCTCTAATTCTTCTTCTTTTTTTTTTTCCTATAATCTAAGCAGCTCAAGTCAACTTTCTATATATACAAGCTATTGGATGACTTCAAAGCAAAGCTCCATATAGCACTAGGCCTGGTATATATAAATATAGATATGTAGGAGTGACTCACGTTAGACAAAAGCCCCATATATTTAAGCTTTGTGTATATTTTAATAGGTGTGTTGATTTGTTCGTTTATGTACAGTAGTAGTCCTAATACTATAGCATTATGGAACTAGAACTAGGACTTGCTCTTCCAGTTTCATCGGTCCATTTCCCCAATAAAAGTTTCGACCTAAACATCAATAAGAATGCACTGCAGCTCCAAGAACAACAACAACAACAACAACCTAAAGATCTGATCGAATTCAAGAACCTGATGATCACACAAAAGCGCAGTTTTTCTGAGGCATTTCGTGAAGACAAGACGCTTTCTTTGCTGGTATGGAACGGCCGGCAGCCAAACGATGATGAAGATGGGGAAGAACAAGAGAGAGAGTCCTTTGGCCCTTTGGACATGTAAGTGGGAATTTTTTTTATATATAATACACGTCAGGCCAAGTAAAAGTTCCTTTTAGCTAATTTTGCTTGAGAAATTCAATCAAATATTTTGTGATTTTTTTGGGTTGAAATTAAGTAGTAAAGGAAAATTTCAAATTCTTTTTTCTTTCTCTGAAGAGAATTGATACATAAAAATGTGTAGAACTTTAACATATACGAGTATAGACTTTCGTAAACTGGATGAACGACATAAATGTAGCTTTAAGAAGATGCCTATGTGCATTCCAGTGACATGGGATGCATGTTTAGCTGTTGCTTCTATTTGTATTTGAATAAGGTCTTAGGTATTGTGGCTGGTTAACCTCAATTTTGCTTGAATGTTGACAAATAAAGCATGTTTAACAGTTACGAAAATTTTAGAACAAACACAAATCGACACCTAGTGTTTGATTAAATTTTTCACAGCAAGAATGATGAGGACGACCATGATCAAATAGTGGGTTGGCCACCCATAAAATCGTGGAGGAAGAAATTTCTCCGTGGCGGCCGCCAGGAAAGAGCACTGGAGAGGGCTGGTGTTAGAAACTCGGTATTTGTGAAGGTGAAGATGGAGGGGGTCATCATAGGAAGAAAGATTGATTTAACTCTCTTTGACTCTTATCAAGCCCTCACCAATGCCGTGCTCAACATGTTTGCCAAGTGTAAGTCTCAAAAGCATTAAATTCATTCCCACGACTTGTCTTTTTTCTTTTTTTTTTTTTTTCTTTTTGTGTGGCTATTTTGCCTTGGAAATTTGCAGATATCTATCTATCTAGCTATGGATTAATGAGATGAGTTTTGCTTGATGCACAGACAGAAATGGTGATGAAGATGATGGACCTTATATTCTCTCGTACCTGGACAAAGAAGGAGACTGGCTCCTAGCAGGAGATGTCCCATGGCAGTATGTACTGTATACTCTTAGCCGCTTTATTTTTTCTGTCTTATGTTAAGATCATACAAATGGCTTTCTTTCTTTTTTTCCCTCCCTTTCTTCTTAATTGAGGATTTTTTTAATTTGGCTCTTACCCGAAACAAGTATATTTACTTGGTGGGAAATTGAAGGCAGAAGCATGTCACATTGAACAGTAGTCTAAAACTGGCCCTTCATTAGTCATGCTGCAATCAAGAATTAATCCTGAAAAACTGAAAGATCACATCCTGTTATGCATCAATCTCAATCTCTTCGACAGTGAAGAAGGTTGGGCAACATGGCTCGAATCATGTCTAGTTCAAAGCGGTTCATGTAATTACGACTACATTTGATGTAAACTTGTATAGTATTGATATAATCGCCAATGTCGTCGCACGAGTTAACAAATTTAAATTTACATCCAAATGGTACGAATTTACACTAACAGTTACAAGAATTATATCAGCCGGTGAGCCCTGATCAGTCAATTTTCTAATGAATTGGTTGAGATGGGCAGAAGTACTAATGAAAATTTAACTAACTTTTACTGATTAAAGTTGGAGTCTTTACAGTGTTGATTAAAGATAATAATTGTGTGATGGGTTGGGATCCAATTGTGTTGCAGAATATTTGTGGAGTCTGTGCAACGCATTGAATTACTGAAACGAAGGAGTTGATGGAGTAGGAGGGGAACGATTGGAATATTGTCAGACACAAGCTAGGGAAAGGCGATAATTAAAGCAGCAGTGCAAAGATTTGAAAGGGGTTGGAGAACTTGCTATCTATTCTGTAACTTGTTTTGGGTTTTTTTTTATTTTTATTTTTCAGAAGTATAAGAAGTTTTTCTCTTGTTTGTTTTGTAAGAGGTGGACTAGCTAGATGTGTGTGAATGTGTGAGAAATCTCTTTAATTAAGCAGGCTTGTCCGAAATTGAAGTCTAGTGATAAGAGAATAAATTTCACCAAAAGTTATTTTTTGGTGGCAACTCTCCTCATAGAGTAAAATAAATGAGTCATGACTGTTTTGAATTTTAAGGTTAATTATCTGAGTAAAAATTTTATATACATTGCCAGTGTTTACACTATTAATGACACATGAACGAAGGTTGGAGTTTAAATTCAAATTTCATATAACTGTCATTCTTGCAATGCTGACAGTGTATATACCGTCAGTATCAGTGTGTACAAGATTATCCTAATAAATTACCATTCAAAATGCAAAAGAAGTCGGTTTTTGTGTTCGAAATCATGACCTAATTTGCATTTTTAGGAAAAAAAAATGTCAATGTAGGTGATGCTAGATAAATTGTGCATTTTTTTTTTCTGAGAAGTCTATGAGTATAATATATTTCGTCGATGAGAGCTTTGTATGGTAGTAAAAATGATAAGCTAAAGGTCATAGGAACTAGAGATATTGGGTAATGCTTTTTATAATCATGAGATTAAAAGGTGGGGAAAAAAAATTGCTCCTAGTGAGATGATCAATTTCACAATCTTCCGAGTGAAATTGATAGGTGGGCTTTGGTAATTTGATTCAATTTTTCACCCATGTTTAGGCTAATGAGGTGTTTTTATGGTGTTTTTCAATTTTTTTTTACTGTAGTGTAGTGGTGTATATAAAAAACTTTTATTGTAAATAGTTAAGTGTTTTTGGAGGTGTTCTTGAGTAGATATTTTGAAATATTTTTAGAATGAAAAATTCTTTTGAGATTTTTTAAAAATTAAAAATATCACAACTCACCGCTGCCACCCGTCATTGCCACCACCTCCTCCCTCCTTTCTTCTCCTCCTTCCTCCCCTTCCCTTCAACTGGAGCCCTCTCCTCCTTCTTTCCCCCTTTTCTAGTCGCCGCCGGAGCTCCCTCTGGTCACGACTTCCACTTGTGACCAGACCTCAAATCCAGTCTAGAGGGAGCTCTAGTCGCGACAAAAAAGGGGAAGGCAGAGGAAGGGGCTCCCAATAGGGAGGAAAGAAAAGGAATCAAGAAAAAGGGATGAGGGACGGAGAGGAAGGAGACCGAAAGAGAGGAGAGAGGAGGAGGTGGTGGCATGTGGTGAGTGGTGGCGTCGAAAGAAGGAAGAGTGTATCAATTATTTATTTATTTAATTTTTTTAAGTGTATTTAATTGTATTTGAGATGTGTGTTTTTAGAGTTGCATTTGAAATTCTTTTCTGTAGATCCCACAAACAAAAATAGTTTTTCACAAAAATTCTCAATCCGTAGGATACGAATCTGAATGCTATAATGCATGAAAATCAACATTGCAGAGCCCATTAAACAGGAAAAGGGAAAAAAAAGAAGCTACTACTATTTTTGCCCTACTCCAGGGGAATGAGAGTTCTTGGAGAGTTTCCTTGTTGGCATTAAATCATTGCCTGATCACCTAGTTTGACCAGTCCAACTTCAGTCAGTTTTTTTGCTTGGGCTGCTTTGGACGCCCGCCATTTTACGCGATGAGGTCAAACAGAATAAAAATTCCACTCCTACACGCTCAATATTAATACTGTCTTTGGCAAACCAAGAATAATTAATGCCTTGAAAATGATTTGATTTCTGTTTTTTTTTTTTTTGTGTGTTTTGTGGGTGGATTACTTATAGAGAAGAGACTAGTAATGGTGCTACTACAGTTGTATTGCATGGGCCCGATTGAGCAAATAAATGAACAGCACTAGTACTGCGACCACCTGGCTTTCAACGCGGAAATTGAAAGACTTGTCTGATGTAGTAGTTGCCGATCGAGCACGCGTGAAATTATTTCCAGAAAATGGTTGAGAGACTTCATGAATTGATGAATTGGATGGAGTTAAATCAGCTTGATCATTTTGACCAACGTCTTTATCTCCTGCTCTTGATCTTGACATGAATTCCCTAGTCCCAATTACCATATGCAGGTGCAGGGCGGGCATGTTTGAATCTTTACGTCTATGTGAAAAATATCAAGCATCTTCATCAAATCCCCAAGCAAAAACAATCCTGATCCATGAGAAGTTTTATGTTGGTACGAAAAGTTCTGACAACTGCTAATAGTTGGTTTAGGACTAATACAAAAATTTCATGTGCATACATAATGTCTCCGCCTACTAATTCACACGTCAAGTGAGATCCACCTTAGCATATTAAATTAAACTAAGTGGGATGGGATGGGGATCTTTATATATATGAACATGGAACTAATGAATTTCATTAGTTCGAGAACAACTATTAGACATGTTTAGCAGTTGTTCTGGACGATATGAAATTCTCCCCTAGCCCATAGTTAAATGTATTTCTCATCCTCGTTGTTCTTAAATAGTTGTTCTAATGATGAAAAAGGAAAAAGGAGTGCTGCTCAATCTTGATGTTACTTTCCCTCATTTGCTGATTAAAGCCTAAATAAACCCTTGAAATCTTTAAGTATTTGACATAGTACTCTTAATATTGCACGTTCTGAAAACTCTTCTTGTATTTGTAAAAATAAGAAGGTTCTGTCATTTAAAAAAAAAAAAACCCTTGTTTGGATTGCTGTTTTTTACAAAAAAAAAAAAAATTCGTACGTTCTTAATGAACACGTTTTTAATTATCTATTAATTAGCAGAAAATTCTGCAACAACTAAGGCCCTGTCTCGTTTACTTGTACACTTAGTTAAGAGCTTCAATTATGTAAAACTTAAGTGTCGTTTTGTCATTGAAGCACTACTTGTTAACTGCTTCATTTTGTTAGGCTTTCGGAATCTTGAAATATTTTGGACTGAAAATGCTAAATCCGGTCCATTCACTGGTTCTTGACAGTGAGCTTTTGGCATCAAAAAATGCTTTTGGACTCAAAGTCCGTACACTGACGGCTCATGGAAAACAGCACAAAATAGCAAGTGGTCTCGCATAAAAAAGGGATTCTATTCATCTTGCTTGAATTGAGAGATTAATTGTTATTCTTCTAGAAGGAGGTTGAAGTGTGAAAGGGATAATTCTGACTGACTGATCTCACAGGTACAACTCCAGGAATTTTGAGTCTGCGCATGCTGTCGTTCTTGTTTACTCAAAGAAAGTAAGCACATTGGCAGGCATACATGATGTCATTCAGCTTTCACCGTGGCTTTTGTTGTCCCTGGGAATAGCACAAAATCAAACTTTCACAATCAAGAGCAAGAAATGGAAGTTCAAAAGTCATATCCAACAACAACATTTCCATTTCATCATCAACGTCTGTTCAGTATTTTCTTTACTTCTGCGCCACTTACAATCTGCTTGTGTCCATCTCTAGACTAGTCACTTTTGCCCTGCAATACAAACCATTTTGGTTCTTCAATTGCATGGCTTGGCTTCACTCTGATTACTGCTAGAGTTTCTCAATCACTACTACCATCCACGAGAGTTCATGCTCATGAATACTTTGGCGCCACGACTTCTTTTTTTTTTCATCCAACCATGGAATTCTTAAGAAGCTTGTTCTTTTTTTTTTTTTTTTCTCTCTCTCTCTTTTTAGGCTAAAGCTGATCTCTGCCCAGCCAACCACTGACCCAAATGAAGGGTTTTTCCCAGTTCATCATCATTTCTTTTCTTCTCTCTTTTTTTTTTTTTTTTTTAAAGTTGTTCCCTTTATATAGCTGGCTAGTTAGTCTAAAGTTCTCAATTGAGCACTTCAAAAACTTTATTGTATGCCTCGTACTATTGGATAGCGGTTGCTGTGAACAAGATTCTTGATCATTGGAACTTGCAAACCAAGTTGAATATGACTAGGATTGATCCCTGCACCAAGAATGCTACTTGGGCACCAGACGCAGCAAATCCCAGGATTGCTTGTGAATGTTCTGCCACTGTCTGCCATATAACTCAATTGTCAGTTCATCATCCACAATTTTTTTTTTAGTTTTATTCTTTAACGGAGACGTCTGATCCTCATATCATTTAGGAAAATTTATGCTCTGGATATTTCTGGCGAACTTCCTCAGCAACTTTTTCAGCTAAAAGAGCTCATGGACTTGTAAGTGATCATTAACCTATTTGGAAAATTTACTTCACTTCCTCCTGCATAGCCGCGAGACTTAGAAATGACACTGCATGTTCAATCGAGTGCAACATATTGTAGGAATTTGGGACTGAATGTACTCAGTGGTTCCATGCCAGCTGAAATTGGTCAATTGTCGAAGATGCAATGCTTGTTACTGTCGCTCAAACTGATGAGAACTTTCATATTCAAAGCAGATTAGTTTGAAATCTTGATTTGCATAAGAACTTCACTGGTCTGGTAGTTGGCATCCATGCAAGCATTTTCTTTTATTGCGACTCCTCTTTTCATCATACTTAATACAACTGAGCCTTAGAAGTATTTAGACCATTCCTTTTCTGTTATATCAGAAGTTTTAGCTCAAACAATTTCCATGGACTGTTACCAACAGAGCTGGGAAGATTAACTTCCTTAGGGCAACTGTAAGTGTTCTACAATAATTATAATAAAATATAAGGGAAAATAGTTCAAAACATCCCTCTCATTTTGCAAAATAACTTTTTTCGTCCCTCACTTTTAAAAATGTAATTTTACATTCCTTACAAATTTACGTTGGTCAAATTTGGTCCTTACTTAGGTTTTTGACTAGTTTTTTGTCGGAATTCACCACGTACCTTGCACGTGATCATATTTTAAGGGCAAAATTGTCAAATTAAATTTTATATAATTCGATTCATGATCCTTCACATTTCATAAAATAAATTTTTTCGTCCCTTACATTTCACAAATGAATTTTTTCATCCTTCACATTTTTCAAAATGAGTTTTTTCATCTTTTATTGATCATGTGTGTGAATAATTTTTTTTTAAATCCATGTATACATCTATTTGATTTCACTTGAATAGTACGAATAGTATGTGAAATTAAATAGAGATATATTACATACTATTCATACTGCTCAAGTGAAATCAAATAGATATATACACGGGTTTAAAAAAATTGTTAGTTTTTCACTTATATTCATTTTCTTTTATTCGAAATTTGAAAATAAAGAAGACATTTGATCCTAAATATTATCAAGTATTTATATCGAATTAAATTTAGATAGAAAAAGTAAACAAAAAGAAATAAGTGATTGGTACTTTCAAAATTTAAGACAATCACAAGGCAAGTAATTCAACTGTTGGTCTTAAATGTGTCGAGTAGAAATTTTAGATTTAAACTGAAATTTGTTAGCACAATTATAGAATTCGAGTTAGAACCCATTAATTAGATGATCTTATTATACAATTCAATAAATAAATTATTACAAAAAGAGAAAGGTCACAAATATTGAATAAATTCAAATGATGAAATCATATAAATATATACATGGGTTTCAAATAAAATTATTAGTTTTAAACCCCTATATATATCTATTGAATAGCATGTATATAACTACAATTAACATGTTTAGATGAAATTCGACAGAGATAAATTACATGTTATTCATACTGTTCAGGTAAAGACAAATAAACATATACGTGAATTTATAGAAAAAAAGCTATTCGTACACCTAATCAATGAGGGATGAAAAAATTCATTTTAGAAAATGCGAGAGATGGAAAATTTCATTTTTTGAAATGTGAGGAATAAAATAATTTATTTTGTATAGTGTTAGGGATAAAAAATTTATTTTGTGAAATATGAGGAATTATGAATCAGATTATGTAAAAATTTGATTTGATAATTTTGCTCTTAAAAAATAATATGCAAGTCATCTGGCAGATTCCGATAAAAAACTAGTCGTAAACCTAGGTAGGGACCAAATTTGGTCAATATGAATTTATAACGGACGTAAAATTATACTTTTAAAAGTGATAGATAAAAAAAAAAAATCTTATAAAATGTGAGATACGTTTTGATCGATTTTTCCTAAATATAAATACAAACATTGAATGCTCGTGCATTTGCCTCCTTGATCAACTAGGTACATTGATAGGGGTGGAGTAAGTGGACCCACTCCACAAGAACTCTCAAAGCTGAAGTCCCTTCGTACATTATATGACTGAACTTTAGCATCAGGCTAAGTCCTGAATAATGGAGGGAAAAAGTCAAAAGTCAAAGTCAACATGTCTTTTGCAACTTGCTGGTGGGCATCAGAAAACAGATTTACAGGAAAGCCCCCCTGAATTCCTGGAAAGTCTTGCAGCTCTCACCATGGTTTGCCGTCGGGTCGTGGTAGCATCGTGGTCTCAATTATTCCATATTCTTCATAATATATCGGTTGAATATCGAGTGATACACCTATTATAACATATAAAAATTTTCAAAAAAATCTTAAAAAATTACTAAATTTAGAAAATATCAAAAAAAGTACAATCTGAAAAAATATTCGAATCAACTCCGAGTTGATTTGGATATATGCCCAATACAATATATCACGGATTCGAATCGGCCAATATCGATTGAGTCAGAGCGAGTCGCCGCAGATATGGTAACATCCGTGATTCGAGATCGGTATCATACCAGTTCCTTCCGTTCCAATTATGACTCTGTCAATTCGTATCGGAATCGGCCGATACTGCTAACCATCACAGTCCTGTATGCTGTGGCATGTGTTTTCCCTTTCCATTTTAGTTCCTTTGGTTCACATTGAACTTTCCCCTTTTTCCTTCCTAAAATTGGGTCTCATGTTTTAGTGAATCTCTAGCTGATCAGTTTCCAATAACAGGAGGCTAGCTTGAAGGAAGGAACTAGTCTTGAATGTCAAATTCCAAGCAGCTTTGGTGCACTTACGAAACTGGAAGACTTGTAAGGAAGTCTAGTAGTTTAGTTTCCTCAAATGCAGTAGTTACTTTTCTACTCGCTTATATTTTAGTATCAAACGTGCACGAATTTTCATTAACACCTCCATTGATGATTATAAGTCAACTTCTTCACTGCTTTGTGACTATTCCACTTGATGATAGTTCCAATTATACATGCACACAAAAGTGTCCTAAGTCAGCTCTGCTAAGTTTGCTACTCTGCGTCAGGAATGTATGTTGTAGGCACTTCAATCAATGGCAACAGTTCCCATAACAGGTTAGCCTTTTAAACTTTTAATTAGCAAAGAACTCGGTTGTTTAATCAAGTTTTGCTTGTCAGAACTAAAATGAGCATTGATAATAAACTGAGATGCAACTCAATTGAGTCTTATCCTCACAGTGAGTAAAATATAACACGCTCTAGCTTCCTCAATCTCTTTTCCACTAATTTAGGTGATAATAATCCAAAATTGGTTCTTCCGATCGATGCAGGAAAATGACTGCAAAGCTGAATTGCCTTCAAGGCAATGCGAGGTGCGCTGACATAATATCTAGGCTCTAAACATTTCTTGGTCATTGAATTATACATAGTAACCGCAATAACGCGAGATTATAGGCCACGCCTAAAGGACTTTAACAACATTGCTAACCAAAGAAACTTCTCCATATATTATTGTTTGAATTATAGATTTGTTGCGTAAATTTAATTATGTTGTTGAAGCTTCATCCTCCATCAACTGTGGAGGCACAGAACAAGTTTCTGCAGCAGGAATAAAATTTGATGATGATTCAGAAGCGTTAGGAGCTGCCTCCTTGTACACAAGCCCCAGCACTGAATGGGCAGTCAGCAGCTCAGAAGCTTTCATTGCAAACCCGAACGGACCCCAAATTTGTAGCTCAAAGGGTTTCTCAAATCACAGGTACATTAGATTCTGAGCCACATAAAACAGCAAGGCTGTCAGCGAGTTCATTAAGATATGACGGCCTTGGACTGAAAAACGGAAAGTACAATGTCGAGATCCACTTTGCTGAGATGCAAATGGAAGATTCTCAATCCTGGAAAGGTCTTGGCCCTGGGAGACGCTTATTCGACATTTACGGCCAGGTACTCCAACTTTTCATGAAAAATATCAAGCAGCACATATTTTGATTAATTTCGTTGGAACAAACTAAGAGAATAAAACTTGTGTTCATTGGAAAAGGTTATGCCGTGAATTTTAATGTTGAAGATTTCCAATAGAGCAGTGGTTGAGACGTTCCAGGCAAATGTAACAAACACGGTGATGTACATACATTTGTACCGGGCAGGAAGAGGAACTTGCTGCATCCCTTTTCAAAGCACTTATGGTCCATTGGTTTCAGCCATCCACGTTACTCAAGGTTCTCATCAACAAGCTCAGCTCCTTTAATTCTCATTCAATCCTTTTCTAATTACAAAAGTCCCGATAATTAGTCAGAGTTCAATTGGTTTCATTTCTTTGCTAGCAGCATCTGATTCGATCGGTTCTTCAAGAAGTAACAACAAAAGCATTTTGTTGAGATAGCAGCTGGAACTGGAAGTGCAGCAGGGCTGTTGATAATTTTGTTCCACTTTCTACATGTAGCGGACTAAAGGAAGCACCAGCCCACATGCGAGTAAAAACTGACTCTCCAAGAAAAGAATAAAATTTGCAGGCAAAATAGCAGGCTCTTTGAGGGTGTTGCTTTCTGATTACTTTTGGACATTTTGAGAACAAAAGTTTCTTCTGGACACATAGATAGCTAGGAATCCTTACATAAATTTGTCATCAAGAAATTTTGAGGGATTAGTTGCTCGAAATATTAGACATCCAGTTTCCTTAGCCTGTGGGGCATCCATGGATTTTCTCCAGGAAAAAAAAACAAGTTTGGAAAACTGTAAATATAGATAAAATAAACATGAAGCTTCATGCTGTGTGAACTTTGGGTGCCAAATGTGAATGTAGGCCACTGGACAAATAGACCAAAAGTTCAGTATAAATAATGCACGGGAATTGGCCCAATTGGGATAGACCAAAACGTTTTACCAGGAAAACCCATAAAAGCAGAAAGACGATCACGGTGGGACTCGAACCCACAATCTCCCGCTCCGGAGGCGAGCGCCTTATCCATTAGGCCACGCGATCGAATGTGCGAGGCTTTGCGTACATCCGTATAATATTCTAGCTAGCAAAATGGCAGCTCAAGAGTCGCATAATCTGATTGAGACGCGCTCATTCTCTCTGTATCCAGCTCTCGCCGTCACTGCCAGCATTTGAAAGCTCAAATTATTTTTTGTCAGACGAAATAATTTTTAATCTGCTCTTACATCTAGTCTACCCCAAGAGAAGGAATAGACTCAAAGGAATCATGGAAAGACCTCCAAGTGGACTAAGTCGTCTTACATCTAGTCTACGCTAAAAGAAGGAATGGACTCAAAGGAATCGTAGCGAGTGGACGATGCCGTTTTCGAATCAGATCGATGCGCTACACATTAGCGGAAAAAATTCTAGAAGATCTTAAATAGAAATGTAAGGCGAAAATATTGTTAAATTGATTCTTATTGTTAAAGCCTAATGTAACAAGTGTATATACTTACTTGTATGATTCTTGTGTATAAGTGTACGGACCATTCATTCCAAAGTCCACACTCAAAAAAACCTTGTGGTAGTTCTATACTAATACCGGACAGTTCTCACTTCTCACAACATACTTTAGTAGTGGGGACAAATTAAGACGTAATTCACTGGTAGTGCATGTCATGTAGGATAGAATTATCCCATATCGTAGCAATAATTTACTCTCCGGTTTCCCACTTTTCTCCAGCACGGCGGCATGTATTTGTTTTTTCTTGTTTTCTATTGCGCAAAATGACCTACTGCTCTAGGATCCCATGCCAAAGCTATATCTCACAGTTTAGGTGGCTAATGGCTTAATGCAGCTCTAATCAACACTTTTTTTTTTTGTTGTTTTGTTTTGTTTTGTTTTTGTTGGGGGGAGGGGGGGCAGGGGAAGGAGGAGGAGAGGTGATAGTACTAAGAAGATAAACTTTGGACCTCACGTCATTTTAGCTTCACTTGCACACATTTCTTGATTTAGCTACATTTCAAGTTTTCTTGTTCAATTTTGTTAAAACAGATGCAGCGGAAGAACAAGCAAGAACAAATTTGGAGGAAATCAGATTTTTATTAGGGTTCGGAACGTATCAGATATGTTGTCGAAGAAGATCTGATTCAAGACATTTCAACATCCTTCCTTCTGGATGCTAGCGGTAGTAGTATTGATATGATCATTTGGAGTCATCTAATCCAACACTACATTATTGTTCGTTGAGGGGATATTTCGAAATGATATCGAGGGCCCTCGTTCTTCTAGCAGATTTCTATGGTGGCTGGCTACACCAAAATTTAGAAATCAGATGAAAAGTTCACGCAATTCTTGCAAACTTCGGAGGCAGTCAGTCAAATCTAAACTAGCAATCAAGAAGAAAAAAGAAAAAGTTTCCAGAAAACTGCCGTCCAGAAATGGAATAAAGAAATCCGCAAAGCGACGGTGGCTCTAGGGAAGGTGAAAATTGGATGACCAGCCCCCTCCTCTCCTCTGTGGCCTACAAATCTCCATTGCATGACATAACAAAAGGAAAGGGAAGGGAAGAAGGGTCCAACAGCAATTAAATCCGTTGACCTTTCATTGCTAGTTGCCAGTAGTATTAGGTAAAACAGAAGAAATTATAGCAGCAGGAGCAGAAGCAGAAGCAGGTGGCTCTTTCTTCCATCTGCAGACTTGGCGTTATGGTATTGGAGCTTTGAATCTACTTTTTTTTTTTTTTTGCTTTTAACTCGTTTACTTTGTTGCCCTTAATTCTGCTTAGGTATTAAGAGGACTTGACTCAGTAACACAAGAAATTAATGGACCCAAAAGTTTTTTAAAGTCCAAAAGGTGACAAAAGAATCACATTATACTGCTTCTTTTCAAGGGCAGCCACGCCACTACTTGTTCTTGAACATGGGGTTGTCAAGAAGAAAAAATAAACAGAGCATTTTATTATTGACAGGCTACTTTACAAAATTTCACTGGTAAAAATATTAAATCCCATAAATGACTTTGTAAAAGCTGTACCATCACTGTCCCGGCTCAATATTATGGGACCACTGGTGCTGTTGGTAATTTAGCAGTCTATTCCATTGATGGTTAGGTATCATCTTTCATTATGGATCCAAAGCTACATCTATTAATTTGTTTTTTTTTTTTCCTTCCGAAAACGATAACAATTGTGTAACTATTCTATTCTAGACTACAAGAAAGAGAGTCTAAAAAGACTTGTGTTTGAGACTAACATGTATATAAATCTTACTAGATCAAATGGGTGTTTTAGCATCATCATCCTTAGATTTTTTTCGCTGCAGGTGGGAGTTTGGGAGTTGAACCCCCACCTACAGCCCCCAAGGAGGGGGACTTAAGTCCCTCCTAATGCTAGGTACTCAAAATCCTCAACTTTACCAGTTTGTTCTGTATAGAAAATAGAGATTTTAGATATCTAATGCCAAAGATGGTAGAGTGCTTCTTCGTGAGGTGTTGTAAGTCAGTTTGTCATTAACATTAACGTTAAAAACCCTACTAAAGCATCATTCTCAACCCTCTGGATTGCAAGTTTTCAAAGAAAAATTGCTACGTTTTTCGCGAACATATTTTTTAATCACCCTTTTACCTAACATATATCAAATCGTCAAAAAAAATGCAATCCGAACAAGGCCTAAAAAGTGTCTTATGTACATGAAGAGGTCAAGGATTTGACCGTTGCCTCTCATACTTGTCACTTTTATGGCCCCTTTTTCATAAATTAATAGCAGACATAATTAAGTGACGATCGATAAAAAAAAAAACAAAAAAATTTATCATTCTCATTTGTTTTCTTGTAGGGGGTGCACTAGGAAAGCAATAGTCTTTTGTAGGAATCCGGCCGCTACTCAAGCAGAATTCATTGTAGTCACTGTAGTTTGTACATCAACCAAGGATTCAATGGAGGAGTGAAAGTGATATCCACTCCACAGGGTTCAGAACCAATAAAATTATGGGAAGGTGATATTTAAAGTAGATCCATCATGTTTGCTGAATAAACATAGCACAACAACAAAAGAGAGATCCAAAGCCAAAGTCGAAGAAAAAAAAGAGATGCGTGCAAGAACCTCAGGTCAGATTTGCTATTAAGAGGGAAGCTTCAACTCTGTTTCGAGCCTTTCCCTGGTCATCATAATATTACTTATGTAGCAGAAGCATAAAGAAGTAGCAGCGTAGAACAAAAGTTTGGGTCCTGCAAAGATAGCGAAAGCCTTTAATCAGTGGTCTGTAGAATCCAATGGATTCTTTTCCCCGGACGGTATTCGTCAACCACAGGCCGACAATTACAGCATGCAAGCGATTAAGTATTCATCTATCTCTGCAGATTCAAGAAATGGTCCCCTCTTCATTGCATTTGACCTCTTACCCTTATTTCAGCATCTTTTTCCCCATCCAGTTGATGATTATGCACTATCATAATTAATTTGATGGGCTGCCAACTCACAGGCGATTTTCTAAACAGGTCAAAAGACGCGTCCTGAACGCCATCTTTGATGCATGCGTTCTGATTAAAGAGTATTTAAACGCTAAAATTTGATCAGGAGCTGAAATGTGCGTTTAAATTGGTTTTTTCTGGCAGCTTCATGTTTGGCTAATAAACAACTACTGATCCTGGACACGCTAAAAGTCAGCATCTCTCAAAGAAGCTTCGTGGAATAAACAGAAGGCCAGATTCGGTGCCTTCCATCTTTTCTGCTACATCCTCGTGTATGCATTAGTTTTTTTTCTTCCCTCCAGTAAATGTCGATCAAGGCATCTAATCAAGTCCACATCGAGAATCTCCTTTCTCGTTCTTGTATGCTTCATGACTCGGTAATATTGAAGGCAAACAAAAGGAAACCCCACAGGTCTTCCAAGCCTTGACAACAATCAAACGTACAGAGTCTTCCTAACCGCGTCCATAACCTATCAGGAGGAGTGCACCAGAAAGCATCCCTCCATGGTAAAACCAAGCATATCCACATTCATAATCCCCAAAAGGGAAAGGACAATCAAACTAAAAAAGAATTCAACTTTACTGTCGCCAACAATTGATGCGAACGAAGGCAGCAGTAATTACATACTCGTTTAAATCTCATATGTGAACCCATATTTTGAGAAGCAGCTATCCTTCAGCATAGGAAGCACTGCTTCACAATTGCAATAACTAATGATAATCAGACCAAATTCAAACCAGAGGCGCAGAAATATGCATTACGAGTAATCCATCAAAAGCTCGCATTTGTTGTTGCAATCTCTAGAGAGCAAGAAACCCACAGTAACAATTAGAACTTGACTTCATTAACCACCACGAACTATTGGAGACATAATTTACATCAAAAGAATGAAATCAGCATCACGTTAAAACAAGTGGTGTAATCACATGAACATAGAGTTGCCAAGAGTTTCCAAGTATTACAAAAACAGAGAGAGGTAACATATCAATCACAGAGCACTCCACATCAAAATCCTCCACCATTGTTAATTCCATTAAGGTTCAGTTTCCCCTCTTCCTCTGAGCCTTTCTACCCATTGGCATGAACAAATTACAAGAATAATTTCACATGAAATACAGTGAAAGGGGGGGAAAATTCTACAAGGAATAAAAGAAGAAAAAGAAATGAAGATGTAACTATAAACCAAAATGGATCAATCAAATTGGAGTATGGTAATACCCTGCAGGTGGTACTCCCATTCCATATGCAGGAGGCATTCCATAAGGCATCATTGGTGGTTGGCCCGGAGAGTAGTACCCCCCTGCGCTGATCTTAGACAAACTAGCTTGACCTTGCATGCCATCTCTAGCATATTGTTGCCATACCACTTGCTCCTGCACCAAA